TTGCTCATTCCCATGGCCACTCCCACCTTTATGTGGCCACTCCCACACTATTAAACCACTCCCACCTTTATGTGGCCACTCCCACACTATTAAACCACTCCCACCTTTTTGCAACAACTCCCACATTCTCATTGCCACTCCCACCTTTATGTGGCCACTCCCATATCAAATCAACATTCTTGTGGCCACGCCCACTTTATTGTGACCACTCCCACTTTATATTGTGGCCACTCCCATTTCCATATGGCCCTCTAAGCCACATTCGTGTGACCTCTCCCACCTTCTTGTAGGCCATCTCGTAGCCGTCAGGGTTCATGGACGGCAGCAGGTGGATGCGGGTCTCCTTGATCAGCCGCACGACGCGCTGGTTGCCCAGCTTGTACTCGCGGCACATGTACTGCATGAGGTTGAGGAGCAGTTCTCGGCCCAGCACTTCATTGCCGTGCATACCGGCCACGTAGCGGAACTCCGGCTCGCCTGCAGGGGGTGCACCGCACACACACGTTTGTATTCATGTCTTTGTGGGGACCGTACATTCATTTCTATGGGCAAAACCCTAATCCCAACAATGGCAACCTTAACCACTACTCAGCCCTAACCTTAACCATTTTTAGTTTTTTATATTCTTTATAAAATTGAGTTTCCCCTTGTGGGGAGCAAAAAATATATTCATAGCCCCCCTAGATGCACAGACATACACGTAAGCTTTGGTTAGCTGGCCCATGGATCAATGCCCGGCATTTCAGGAAAACCAAAAGATATTATGGGAATATAATAATACTACAATAATCTAAATAATAAAAAACTACAATAATCATCCTTTCACTGAAACTCCAAAGCCATTCACCAGGCAGCCAGATCATGAGGTCAGTGTCCTCCTTCTGTGATGTGGATGAAAACCAAGATCTCAGGCATCAAGAGGCCCATGCAGAGTCAGCCATGGCTGGGTCGGGCCGTTGTGGTCAGCAGGGGGCCTGCAAGACGTCCCTCTACAGCAGCCCATCCCTCAGAGACCCGCATACGTTGTACGTGTGTAAAAATCCCAGAAGTTTTTTTTGAAGTATTTTATTTGGTTACCTATGGTTAGGGTTAAGGCTGGGTCGGGGTTAGGGTGTTGTGACTGGGAAATGAATGTGTGTGTGTGTGTGTATTTATGTACACACAGACCGCTTAATGCATCATGAAAGCAGAGCAGGGATACAGTGGGGAATGCTGCCAGGGGTCAGAGGCTCGATTCAGATTAATAAGCTACTCTGCCACAAACAGGTGACCTTGATATGATTCTACTTAAGTAACTGCTCTATAAAATGCATCAATGGTAGTCTAGGCAAATAAAAATACATTTCAAAGCACATCTATGGCTTGTAATCGCATATCATAAGTCATAGTGGCTTATAATTCATTCTCATTTTGATAAAATTCTAGTTTCCAAAGTGGAGGCCAAGAGGAAGACAAGACGAGCCTGTTCATGGCAAAGGGCTCCTCTATACATTTAAGATGCAGGTTTTTTTTTTTTAAATAGTCCCTCCTCCAAACAAACAGGTCACACACGAGCCATTCATGCCACATGACTGGGAACTTGTCAGTGGCCAAGCAGAAAAATCCATGGTGTCTGCATGTGTGTCGGTGGGAGGCGTCCAGTGGACGGACTTCAAACCGGCGTGCTGAAGCACTGAGAGCATTAGCATGTCATGGGGGGAGGTTTACCCTCAACATGGACCATCATCTCCTGGCTCATCATCATTAACAAGTCTTGTTATTCCTGTTCTCCTGAAATAAGCATCTAGACCAGAATACGCTTTCCGTAATAAATAAATAAATAAATAACTAGCTTAAACCTCCAAGGACGACAGCCAAGACGGCCATGTTTAATAAAAACAGGAACAGCAGCATGTGTACCATTCCAGGTGCCCAGCAGAAATACATTTCGGGGGGGGCAGGACCTGTAACTGTGTCCCCACAGACTATTTACATAGATTTTGCCGACCCAGGGTCGGGGGAGGGGGATGTGGGTTCAGACCCACCATTGTGCTGAGTGCTATGTGCCTGTACTACGCTAACCATCAGGACTGGTCTGCCTCATCCCTGGGGGGCAGGGGTTGGGGGGGGGGGCGGATAGCAGTGTGTTCTGGCTTTTACAAGCAAAATGACTCTCCGAGGCTTGACAGGGCTTACAATAAATAAATGTACTATAACAATATTATTTTATATTATAGAAATAAGTAGGGTGACCAGATTAGCAGAATGACACGACAGCAGACTGCTCTGTGTTAGAAAGGGACCCGTGGTCTGTTAGTATCATAGGACGGACATTTATTGCCTCTACAGTTTGGACTCACTCCATTCTGCAAGAAGCCGAGCCAGAACAGTTCATCACTAATGGCTGCAGTGCCAGTTATGGGCTCTGGCTGTGTTCGCCTGATCCCTGCCAGGGCTGGCACCGCTACCCGCTACCGCTGGCTGCGGCCAAGTTCAGTTGCCCTGGCCAATGAAAACTCTCAATGTTTTTTTTTTTTATAAACGCAGAAGACAGCCAATCAAGTTCCAGTGCTGAATCACTTAATAAAAGGTCAGTTTATATATATACTGCATGTAGTTTATGAAAAGGTTGGTGTTTCCACTGAGGTAACATGGGCGCAGAAAGGTTGTGTGTTACTCCCAACCACATAAAGAGTAAGTGGGATTGGAACTGCTCATGTACAAGGTGACCGGCTTCAAACCGGGTTAATGCCCAGCCCGGTTCTGCAGAGATGCCACCCACCCAGCTCGTGCGTGCCCGGGTTGTCGGAGATCTCCATGACGTACAGCTTGAGGCCCTGGTAGCTCTTGCCGATGCTGTAGATGCGTGTGATGTCAGGGCACTCCTCGTTCACCACCTTCATGAGCTGGGGGGGTGGGGGGGGAAGAGAGGGACCTGGGTTTTGCTGGACTGAACACGCACGGACGGACGGTAAGCATCGCGCATCGCGGCCCGGAGCGTCTCAGCATCGCCGCCTACCTTCCTCATCTCCTTATAGTTGTGGTGCCTGAAATCCAGCTTTTCCCTGGATCCTTGTTCAGCTTCCAGAAGATAAATATTGTTGGGATCTAGAGCATTTGGGCAGGAATATTATCACAATTAACATGGGAGAAAAAAACTGCGATATACAGACGCTCCCCGTTACGATGGTCTCTTCTATTTTACAATGGGTTAAATGTTTTTCACTTTCAGTACATTATTCAATAAATTACAGGAGATATTCAACATTTTATTGGAAAATAGGCTTTGTGTTAGTGATTTTGCCCATTTGTAGGCTAATGTAAGTGTTCTAAGCATGTTTAAGGTGGGCTAGACTAGGCTATGATGTTTGTTTGGTTAGTTGTACTGTATTAAAATGCATTTCCGCCTTACGACATTTTCACCTTACGATACGTTTCTAGGAACGTTACCCCATCGTTACTTGGGGTGAGCCTGTATTGTGCTATCCCACTCAAAATAAAAATGAATACTATTCGTCGCAGCAAACACTAATTATAACAACAAAAATTCTCCATATTGTGCGTTTCCATGATATATAGCTGAAACAACAATAACTACCTGCAATACGCACAGATCTTCCAGCGTAATTTCATTTTGAGAATTGGGTCATCGCTCTTTAGTGCGGGGAAAATAACTTCCCTGCTGTTCAGAGGACATTGCTTTGCTTTTCAGCAGTTTGGGTAACAGAAAACATCTGCCCTCCCAAAACATCTACCACACCCCGACAGATGCTGCAAACAACTCTAAGGACAGCAAGTTAAGAACGGCTCGGCAAAGAGCCCTAAAGTGTTGGCAGAACGTTAGGAGAAGGTTGTCACAACGTTGCAGTAATGTCAAAGCAGTGCTGCAGTACCAGGTATGGGGCAGCCCAGAACCTCAGCTCTCAGGCATATGGTTCCATTCTCGAACCAGGTCTGCGGGTTGATACGAAGATACCGGGCCACCATGGGCTCTGGGAGCAGGGCCAGCACCGGAGTCTCCACGTCCTGGTTCCCCTCAAACACCTGCGGGAACACAAGCTCAGGATTTACATATGGCTTGTGTAAACTTTAACACCTGGAAAAAGGTTCTATCATGTATTAAACTGTACGGCGCAGAACTTCATTGTAACGCTCCGTCTTTGACATTTAGCTCACGGTTTAACCGTGTGCTGCTGTCCAGCCCCAGAACAATGTTCTCGAGCTCTTTGGGCTCATGTTACTTTATGTTTACAGAGGTCAAACACAGGAGAGGGACATGGTTGGCCAACCACTTTTCATGTGCCAGCTAAGTAACAGATAGGTCTAAACACACAGGGAAAGTCACAGCGGGCCATCACAAAGGAGCCGCTTTGTGGCCAACGGCTGTGACTGATTTCATTAGCGTTTGACTGAGCAGGCCCGGCTGCTGGAACAGTGCAAGCCACAGGCCTGCCTTTGATGTCCGACATCTAAGAGGCAAATAACCCGCACAGGATCAAACGCGGCTCTGGGGTCTTAATCGTACCCTTAGCAGTTACATTCCCCATTACTCAGATTTCCTGTGAGGGGCATTTTAGTAGAATAAATCTATAACTCTTTAGACGGCACCTTCCTCATGTTAAAAAAAATTATAATGTCAGTAAATTATTACATTATATGTTCTCTAATATAATCTGTAGGTCTAATTTGGCTATGTCAATTTCAGAATAAATAATGATGTAATAAATATGAGTAATTATTTTACAAATGAGGCATGTGACTAAAACTAGTTCTAACCCTAACAACTAGAGAGAGGCGCCAATTACAGAGAAACACTGATTTAATGTAGAAGTTTAAACACCGACAGACACTAACTGTCTCTTAAATTAACTAGCATTTATTTCTAGATTGGACCCAACTGCAAGCTACACTCCACAAAATAAAACATTCTATTTGCGTTGCGCTAATATTCCTGACCGGGACGAGGATAACTGCTGAGGGCTGGAAGAATGGAATTATGGGGGTTTTCACTCACTACATCTGTGGTTGTGGTGGTAGAACGAGTTTTTGAGTAGGGATACAGTTCTGGGACCCCCCCCCCAGCTGAACACCCCACCAAAGCGGGTAACTCACAGCCTCCCTGCTCCCGTTCATGCTGGGCTTCCAAACCATGGAGTCATTGCTCAGCTGCACCTTGTAGGTGTGAACCCAGTCCCAGCTGAGAGACAAAAATCACAATGCAAATGAGAAAATGTCCCACGAATTTACAGCCTGGAAGCAGAGAGGACTGAGCAACGGAGTTATGAATATAACTGGCTGGGATTTTGGAACAAAAGATTACAAAAATTACAGTTTCCAACATACTGCTATAAAATCACTTTGTCTGTGTAAACAGGTCATGGAGTTGAGTTTCATCAGTAAATTTGCAATAACTAAAAAAGATACGTTAGTAAATATATGAGAATTTTAGCCACCTACCATTTGAAGTGTTAACATTCTAGCAAAATGCTGGTTTTCTCTTTCCGGAAATAAACAGAATTTCAAGAATCTTGATACAATTGTCCGAAACCATCTAAATACCACAAAACACATTGTTGTGGATCAGTATGTTCTATACCACAAAAATGGCACTTGGCTGACTGATTATCTGCAGATCTGAATACACAAATGAAAAGTCACTGAAGACTATCTGTAAAGCATTAAGGACCAAATTCTATGCCCCAGTTTAGGGGTTTGAAACGCAGTCTGAACCACAGTTACTTCAGGATGGACCTATGAAGCTTTTATTCCACAGAGCACATACCAAAAAGGTAAAGATCTCACATCAGGAATGGTATGGGAGCCAGTCCAGAGAGATGCATTATGGGAACAAACCTCCAGATGGAGTTGCGTCCTTGAAGGATGACCCCCGTGAAGAGAGTGGGCCGGAGGGCATCCACCTCCAGCCACTGTTTCTTGTCTTCATACTTGGCACACCAGGCCCCATCGTATTCATCTCCATCTTCTAGGCCAGACTATAACGCGCAGAGAGCGTTAGCTTAATGACAACCAAAAGCTGAGATGGTGACACCAAACTGACTGCAATGATGGTGACGCGGATGACTGACGGACAGCCTGAACTTCAGAAGATGAAAGGCCTTCAACTGCTCAAGCAGAGAGAGTGTGGAAGATTCGACTTCCGTTGCTTGTACACAAATGGCACGCTGTATCCAGACTGCAGCCCACCTGGATGTTGAGGCGGCCCCGGTGGGGTCCAAGTCCATAGTGCTTGATAGAAGAAGCCTGCAGCTGAGTGTCTTTGACCCGCAGAGACTCCAGACCCAGGGGAGGGCATTCTGGGAAAATACAAATGACGAAAGACACTCAGGCTCCCACTCACGGCGTAACATGCGAGATAAGAACCACGATCACAAACAGATGGAGTCCATCCTTTGAGAGTGAAACAGACTGTAGGTACGCAGAGAGCAGGAGATCCATCTCACATTCAGGAGTGAGCAGATCTAACCAATGAATCATTAACCTTAGAGCCAGTCATGATGAATTAGCACAAGCGATTGCGTTTAACCCTCGGAACAAGAAGTCGGGAAAATAGCTGAATAACAGTAAGCATTTACCATCTGGGAGATAAGCCTTGACTCATGGACGCTACAGGAAGTATGCACTAGCTTGGGTGGGACACTGGACTATAAGGCATCTTTCCTGTCTATTTCCTGGGAGGTAACTCTTATATGCTGCCCTGTCCGGGTGATTCTCATACATGTTCCCAATTGGTGGATCCTACTAGAAACATCCACCATCCAAAAGCAGATGGATAAACAGCATGTCTCTTAAGGTGAGGATCCATTGGCTGTCATCCTGTCCAGAATTCTCCTGCTGCCACTTACAACTGGTTTAATGTCTTTGTGTCTTGCAAGCTGACAGTCGCTCATTGTATGAGAGGTTTTGGCCGGTCGGCTGATTGGCTAAAAACAATACTGGGCCTCTCTTCTTCTTGGCCAAGCCCTGCCGCTCCCGTGGTCCCTTCTGAAGCCCCAACACCAGTTTGCCTTTGAAGCCTGCTGGATCACGGGTCAGCTTCTCGTCCTCTTGCCTGCTTTTGCCCCAACCATGAACTGCTGGAATTTCCCTGCTTCAGATCCTCCAGTTCTCCTCATAAAAAAAATCTAATCTACAAACTACTCATTCGGAACGCTTGCCAAGCCTAAAATGCAAGTCAACAAAAATGTGTCCTTTCCAGCTGGCATAAGTGTGGCCAACACTCATCAGCCAAGGGCCCTAACTGGTGAAGATCAAAGAGCAACCGGCGCTGTTTATTTCGGAGGAACAACACAGAAACCTCGAAGAGTAAAGAGACAAAGGAAAAGCACCGCTCTCTGAGCCAAAAGTGTGACAGAGCTGGGACGTCTACCCAGAAGGTTATGGGGTTCCAATCCCAGAAGACTGTACCCTTGAGCAAGTTGCCAAACTTGAACTGCTGCAGTAAAATGTCCAGTTCTTCAAGTGGGTGAAATTTTAAATTGTTCCACATTAAAAATATCAACTAAGCAGTTTTTTTAAGGTAACAATCTGTCCTGGCTAAAAGGATGAGGGATTCTTCACATGCAGTTGGTGTATAAACTGAACACCAATTTCTCATTTTAAATGTTTGCAGAGGAAGCTGTCCGGCTAAGAGAGGCTTGGTTCTGACATGTTACGGCCAGTTAATCCCAGCAAAAACAGGACCCTTTCCCCGTCTACCAGTCGCTCCAAAGCTGGCACACGCCTACTCAGCTGTGCAAAGACCCCACAGGAGAAACATGTCATTCATATTAGTGCTCTTGCTCTTCCTGTGAGCGTGCATGCTTTTATGTTGCATTCTATTTCAACTAGGAAGTCTGAAATTCCGAGTTCTGAGTCGGAAATTTCAACTGGAATGCCCACCGAAGTCGGAATTCTGACTTGGAAAGTCGGAGGATTCTCTGCAACCCTGACCTCGGAATTCGAGATGGCTGCACCCTTCATTAACAGAATTGAGTGCTGTACTGTTACACTGTTATACTTTTATACTGTTTATTAGCACTTGTGTCTTATTTGTGTCTCATTAAACTGGTCGTACACACAATAATGTCCAATCGCTATCTGTGAACATGTTGGTACGATGTTTGGATGTGCACATAATGTGTCATTATCAACTGATATAGCTAATAATGGCTACGAATGAACCTGGCTAGAAGTGGGGGCTGTTTCAGAAAGCAGGATTTCTTGCTTAGCTGGATAACTTGTCGGATTTAAGGTAGTCTGGGCTAAATGGAAGTGAACAAAGATAAAGGCCATTTAAACTGTACATGAAGTCGGACAAGTTATCCAGCTAAGAGAGAAAATCTCAGACAGGTCCCGGGTATTGCTAAATGCCTTTCCGACTTCTTGTACTGGGACATACTTAAATCGGGTGTGATATTCCCAGCTCCAAATTCCAACCTCCAAGGTAAATGGAGCGCAGCATTATTTATGTTCAACCCCCCCACCCCCCATTCACCCCACCCCCACGTTCCCACCTACTCCAAACTTCCCAAGCTTTAAAGAAATCCTCGAAGGCCGAGGAGAATCCGGCAGGACCCATTAAGGACAGCTTTAATAAATATGTTCTTAAATAGCTTTACACCTTGAATATTAGACAAATCCATCAGTGACGATATTTATTATTAATTTGTGGCAGTAGGCAATGGCAGAGTGAAATCAAATTATCAAAATTTCTACAGATGTATGATGGGATGTTTCTTGGTGACTTTGGAAATGAGGTGGGTGGGGTTACAGCACATGTCAATCAAGCTTTAACTGACTTCATTAGTTCCTATTTGATGTGGGCCGACTGTGACTGACAGATTTTGATAATCCCACCCGCTGTGAGTGTTGGCCCTGCTGTAATTGCAGACACTGTCGCTGAAACTTAGACTGAAAAGCCCTGCTGTTATTGTAGACGCTGTCGCTGACACTTAGACTGAAAAGCCCTGCTGTTATTGTAGACGCTGTCGCTGACACTTAGACTGAAAAGCCCTGCTGTTATTGTAGA